GGGTGTGTTTGAAGCAGCTTCTAAGTTTGAGATGGATTTTAGCAGGATCAGGAATTAATTGAGCATGGTTTGGAGAGAAAATTAAGAATGAAATCTGAAGCAATAATTGGCACTTGGAGCTGAGTTACAGATCGTGTTGTATGTTGGACTAAGACATCCATAAGGTATTTGGAAAAGCAGGATTGGTTTAAGCATCTGGAGGGGCTTTTGAAAGAGGCCCAGGATAAGCAGAGAATGGTGGAGAAGATTATTCAGGCATCCTTTTGAAATGGGGGTGACCTGGGTTTAAAAGGGGGAACTGGTGGGAGCAGAGTTGAACATAAAGAGAAAGTGGTGGCGTAATAGAAGATCATGACACAGAAAATCTGGGCCTTAGGTTAAATGTTTTCATTTATCAGCTGTAAGAGCTTGGTGAGCTCCAGTTTCCTCAAATTCAAATACNAATGTTTTCATTTATCAGCTGTAAGAGCTTGGTGAGCTCCAGTTTCCTCAAATTCAAATACATACTTATCTTCCCTGTGTAATCCATAGGGCTGAAATGAGGATTAAATGAGATAGTGGGTGTAAAAATATTTTGTGTCTGTATAATCATAATTATGATTAAATGTGGTTCAAGAGCCTCAGGGGTGGATCCCTAACTTAATAACAATAATAATGATAATAATGATAATAATAAACTTCATTATCTAAAGATTTTCATGGAAATATTCCAGAATTAGAATTTTCTTCTTAGGGTCCACGAAGACTGTCCATTACACTGGGGCAACCAAGCTTCTTGGCTTTTTTCCCCTCTCTAAATACAAATTTCTTTAAAAGGAAACACAGATTTTTATTTGACAACTAGAAATAAGAGTTTTAAAATGCTCAAGCCTCTTTCTGGTCTATTGTCAACAAAAAAGCCAGGGAGATGACATTTTTATGATGTAAATAAGATTATGTTACTCCTATGCTCAAAATCCTCCAAAGACTTCCCATTTCACGAAGAATTAACTATAAAACATTAATGAAAGAAATTGAAGAAGGCACAAATAAATGTAAAGATATCCCATGCTCATGAGTTGGAAGAATTAATATTGTTAAAATGTCCATACTACCCAATGCAATCTACAGATACAATGCAATCACTATCAAAATTCCAATGTCATTTTTCATAGAAATAGAAAAAAAATCCAAAATTCATATGAAAGCACACACACACACA